CTGCTAGAGTAGAATATAATCCTCTATTATCATCATATAACCTTTCTAAACAAAATCCTAAGCAAAGAGCTCTGTAAGCATAAAAAACCCGTCTTCCCTAAATTCAAGAGCTTACTATCTTTGGAATCTAATTGGATGTACCGAAAACTACAGCAATCGTGTTTTTGCAATTGTTTTCTGCGCCTACCAGCTATCTTAAGAGATTCGCTTCAAAATGCAATTGACAAACAAAAAATAACAACTTTTACCTCTTGCTCATACTTCCTGTGCGGAGGTATGGCTGCTTTTGGAATTGTGCTTGGATATCTTGTACTTGGGCCAGGTTGAGGTTGTTGCTGAGGACTAACACCAGGTCCCGAATGATGCACATGGGTTTTGTAAAAAGGTAATGGCGTCCTGAAAAAGACAGACATAAATTCTGGTAATTTCACTACGTCCAAACACGAACTTTTTGAGCAGCTGCTCCTTTCTTGCCCGAACTTCCTCGATGGAAGGCCATGGTTGGAATGTTGAATGAATATTCTCAACGTTAAACCTAGGAACGTTTTGATTCAGCATTATCATACCATTTTCACCGAAAACGCTGACCCGTTATTGTTTCCATTAGGACTCGTGCCGAGACCAATAGAAGCGGACTGCTTTTTCTGCTGCAGTTCTTCCTCATTTTCTTTCGTCGCTGGTAAACGATGGACTTCTGCTCGCATTTCTTGCGTATTTCGCATTTTTTGCGACGTGATCAGCCTAGAAAAATCATAAGAGAGCTTGCGAAAAAAAAGAAACAAGCCACACTGTGAAACATTCTCTGGCTAATCATCTTTTGATTTTTTTCTTTTTAAATTTGTAAGAAACTCAAAATCACTTCATTTTGAAGGCATCACAGGCTATTAGAGTTCTTTTAGTAGTTCCTCCGGGTTATTTCACTTATTCACGATTGGTTAGTATTGGTTAGTTGTTGAGATCATGAATCATGAATCCGAGCAAAAAATGCAAATTCAATTAATTTTGACCTATTGCAATTCGTTGTAAAAAGGGACACTGTT